CAAGTGGCTCTCATTTGGTCAGCATCATGGAACCAACTCTGTCCACCACTGTTCCCATCACCCTCACCAGCCTTGACATCATCCCCAACTACCACACCTCCACTTCACCATCCTCACCTCCACCCCCACTGGCACAATCACACCTTTCCATCTCAGCAGGACCCTCAGTGAGGTTCTCCCCCACCACGCACACACACAAGCTGAGTTAGAGGGAGCAGCTTGCATGGGGCGGGGGTAGTGAGCAGATGGCTTTTCTTCTCTTCTGGAATTCTCTACTCAGGAAGTGACAAACATGTCCGGGGTCACACATTGCTTTCTCCCTGAGGCATCAGCTCCTATGTTTGTAAATAACGTGCCTTCCTCAGGAGTCCATTTGTACTGACCAGGAGCCCCACCAACACCAGCTCCAGTCCCCAGATCGTCTCCCATCCCCATTTCCCCAGCTTAAGGCTAATGTCAGGGGACTCCACCTCCTGTGTCCAGACTCTGTGCATGATGCACATGTGTGCATACGGGACGGGACAGTGCTGCATTGAGGGGTGGAGCATGAAGAGGTTGTGCTGCGGTGGGGGGCACTGAGGCCAAGCCCTATGGAAGCAGGTGGAGGAGTCACCATGTGAGACCTCATCCAAGACCATAGGAGGATGGCAGTGGGGGTGGGAAATGAGAAGCATCCGGCTCCAGGCCTGGGTGGCCCAGTCAGTGGTGGGTATGGAATGAGTGAACCTTGACCTTGAGCCAGCCCTGATCCCTTCATTCTACCCCTAAGACCCAAGATCTGCAGACTCTCTGGATCTTGGAAGATGCAAATCTGAGTCCTCCATATCCTGGAACTGGGCCAAGAAGACAGGAACTCTGGCAGGGAGGAGGTGGGCTGTCTGGGAAGGGGGAGGGGGAAGAGGGAGAGAGGAGTGCAGCATCAGATGAATAGGGGTGCAGGCCAGGAAACCATCAGAGCTGTCAGCATTTTCCCCTCACCTCTGAGAGATAAAGGCTTCTCAGCCAGGGCAGAGGTGCAAGAGGGGCTTCTAGCCCCACAAGCCCCAAGCTCAGGGAAGCTGGTAATGACCTTGAATCCTGACTTGAGTCCAGGTTAGACCTAGAAATGCAAGGGGGGGGTGTCATTGGGGTCTCCTTCCATCTCAAAAGCTCCCTCTGGGTCCTTCCGCCAGACACACCTCACCTAGAAGGCCCTCATATTCCCTGTTCCAATCCTTCCTAGGGTCTCACCTCCTTCACTGTCACCCCTCAGTGACTCATCCAATCTCTCCCTGGCACACTGGGTTCCCACCCTGGGGGCATCCACATAGCCAAGCAGCAGGAGGACCCACTCATAGAAGAAGTGATGACTTCATGCTGCTGCTCTACCCCTGCCTAGGCTCTCCATGTAGTACCTTATTTAATCTTCACAACAGCCCTATATTATCCTCATTTTACAGGTAGAAAATTGAGGCACAAGAGGTTAAGCCACTTGCTCAAAATCACAAAGGCAATCAGTGGTGGAGGTGTCATTCAAACTCCAGTGCAAGTGGCAGAGTCTCCTTGGATGAGGGGGTAATGCACTGGGGGAGGGGTGAGCAGAGGCTTCCAGGTAGGGGAGCTGTACTCTAAAGTGTGAAGGTGGGAATGGGCATGGGGTGGGATTGCTTCCCTCCTTCTGAAAGTGCCTCCTTAACTCTGACCTGAATTTCTCTTGCTGCAGTGGCAGCTCTGTTTGTGATTGGAGTGACAGAGAAATGGGTCCTAAAGTTCAAGGAGGCCAGAGGTGGGGGTCACTGTCTCTGTGAAGGGTAAGGAGTAGGGGGTTCTAGGCAAGGGCAGAGTAAGGATAACGAGCACTGGGGCAATCTCTAAATTGTGGCCCCCAACCCCAATTTCAGAGGAACAGACATTGATAGTAGTGACGTGACCTGTCAGCAGAAATGCTTTTCCCCAGCTTGTCTGGCTGCCTCGGTCAGGTACCTTTCATTCCACTCCTCATCTGGAACCCCCTTGGTCTTGTGCCCTGGGGCATGTGCCATCCTGTCCTCTGTCTCTGCAGCCTCTGTGTCTCTCTTGCTCAAGGAAAGATGTTGGGCAGTACCAAGTTAATAGAAACTGGTCAGTGGTGCCCCCCTTCAAGTGGTGCCCAGAGCATGTGCTATACCTGCCATGCCTTAGATATGCCTCCGGTTCTAGGAGCACACACCCTCCCTTCTCCTGGCCATTCCCACTGTGGAAACAAGAGTAAGGAAAAGTGATGTGCTTCTCCTGGCCATAGAGGTAAAACCAGGTAGAGGCTAAGCAGAGCCCTTGGGCCTGTGAGCAAATGTGTTGGTCAGTTCCTTGGTCAGGTCCTGGTCATCACTCCACTAGTCCACCTATCCATGTGTGTCTGCCAAATTGTTAGTTTGTCAATCCATGACTACCTGCCTCTAGTCTAGGCCTCCAGCTGTGATCCTCAGTCACACTGGTGAGCTGACTTGTCAGGAAGGGCTGGTGTGTCAACCAATCATTAGGGACTGGTGGGATTATCACACAGTCACTTAGGGGTCTCTTGGCTGGAAAAATACAGTGTATCATCTGTTTATTTTGAGAGAGGCAGAGATGGGCAAAAGGAGATGGGGAATGGGAGCGGGGGCCTGATAAGGAATGAGGACAATAAGATTGCAAAGGTGATGTTGATGCAGTTATGGAGCTGATGACAATTTGGTGAGGGCAGTGATGATGCTAATATTTCCTTGAACAGTAATGGTGTTGGTGGTAATGGCGATGGTGGTAGTGGTTAATAATGCTGGTGGAAATCACATTGGTGGTGATTGTAATGATGTTGTACCTGTTGTGATAATACTAATGGTGGTAATAGTGTTGCCAGTGGTGGTAGTGGTAATACTAAGGGTAGTGATGATGGTGCTGGTGACAGTGGTGGTGGTGGTGGTGATGATGACAGTGAAGGTGTGGTAGTGGTAGTTGATGGAACACTAGTTGTAATGATAAAAATGGGAGTAGGGGTGTTGTCATGGGGGTTGGGTGGGCAGGCAGCTGGACAGGGATCAGGCCCCCTCAGCAGCCTGGATTCCCAATGACAGAGCCACAATGAGAACCTCTGGACCAGGCAGACCCTCATTGTTCTCCCTTAAGCCCCATGGCCCTGAGCGCCCCCCCCTCCCCACACACACACTGCTTCTGCTCAGCAGTAGCAGTGGTAGCCGTAGAGGAGCCACGAAGTCTTGCAGCCAACACAGGAGAATCTATCTGCTCCAGTAGCTTCCTGGAGACCCGTGGGCACTGGGTCCAGCCGAGCTATTCCTATGTCCACCATAGACTCCACAGATAAGCACGCTAACGAGCAACCGCATCACACACTCGAAGATGCACACATGTGAACTTTCGTCCAGAAACGCATGGATACATACATATTCACAAACACGTTAGGCCCACGAGCCTACATTTAAATGCAGAACGGTCCTCATATGAGGACGCTCAGAGACAGGCGCACGACTAAGAGCACACACCCGCCAGGCAGCGTGTGTGCGGACGCTCGGGGATGCGCCACCACTCACACACGCGCACGCGCAAAGACGCGTACGCGCCTCCTCTGAGTGAAACCAGTAGACCCTAAGTCCGACTGAGCCAATTGGAGACTCCTTGGGCATGGAAGCCCTCGCTGCTGCCGCCAAGAGACGCGGTCAATTAACTTCTCCCTGCAGCAGCGCTCCCTGACCCACCCAGCCGGGACCGCCCACCTTCACCCGCCCTGAGTCCGCCCCTTCCCGGACCCGCCTCCTTCTTTCCACGCCTCCTTCCGATCCTCCCTCCCTTTACCTCTGGGCTCTAAGAGGGCCGGCCCCTGCCTTGAGGTGTCGGAGGGGGTGCAGCCTGTCGTTGGGTGTCTGAGGGGACTTTGGGGTCAAACAGGATGCAGCCCTTCCCTGAGGATCTGAGGGAACACAGCCCTGACTTGGGGGATTTGAAGGCGATACAACCCTGCCGCAGGCGGGGGGGGGGCGGTGAGAGGGTGTGTGAGAGGATATTTTAACCCCTTGTGAAACAAACTCGAGGAAGCAACTGGGTTAAGCACACTGAGCGTCTGACTCCCTTCTCCTAAGAATGGCAGACAGGTGGACAGAAGCCCAGAACCTCTCCAGCAGTCCGCTGCAGATGAAACCACTTCTCCCCCAAGATGTTACCTTTTCCATCCTTAAAATGACGGCAGGATTCTCAGTGGATGGTGAGGGTCCCGGGGTCCGTAGTTGGAAAGAAAGGGAGGAAGGGCATTGCAGAGAGAGCAGCGGGAACAAAGCTCTGCCCATCCCATCAGAACACAGGATCTGCTTGAATGGAGGGAGCTTCCAAATAAGCAGGCAAGTGAGGGACGACTCCTACCCACAGCCTGCACGGGAGTGCCCCGCCCCCCCCCCAGGTCATTTACCAGCAGTTCCTCCATCCAGTGCCTCTAGGAACGGCAGCGCCTGAGAGCTGGAGATGAGGGTGAGTGGGGTCTGAGGCACTCACTCACCTTTCACTGGGAAAAGCACAGAGGCTAGGGAGCAGGGACGAGATTGGAAATCAGAGACACTCAAAGTGTTCCAGGGCGCCAAGACTTGAAGGAATCCAGGCCTACGTTTATCTCCCTAGGGTTCACCACTCCTCACCCTCCCCTCCCCAGACCTTCGACATGCAGCCAGGGTCCTATGAAGAATGATCCTGGGACATTCCATCCTGTTCTCATGTACCCCTGGGGAACGAACTGGGCAGAGAAATTCAGTGCCTGTAGCCTGTGGGGTCATTGGCAGGCAGGCAGGGGACAGCCCCCCCTTTTCCGCTTAGGCCGGCCAGCCCCTACCCTTCATAACTGCGGCTTCCGATCTGTAAAATAGGAGCTACATAAGGCAGATTTCCCATATTCTAGAATCAAGGTCTTTAGAGAAGAGAGGATCCCTCAGGGAGGTGGGGATGGTTCTGGAACCGGCCCGCAGGGCTGGGAAGTTCTGCCTGCAGTCTGACCTTAGGCTCTGCAGGTGGATGCAGATGACGTCATGACCAAGGAGGAGCAGATCTTCCTGCTGCACCGAGCCCAGGCCCAGTGCGAAAAGCGGCTCAAGGAAGTCCAGCGGAGGCCAGGTGGGGGCGGGGCCAGGAGGGGCGGGGAGGACAAGGAGGGTGGGTCACGGGGACCACGGAACCAGGTGAAGGGGGATCAGGTGTAGGTGCCAGGCGAGGGCAAGGGTGGGTCTAGGCAAGGGGGGAGGGCAAGCCCAAGCAAGGATTGGGAGTGGGGCAAATCTGGTGAGGGCAGGGTCAGCATGCTCAGGTGGTCATTTGCTGGTCTTAGTCCTGAGCTCAGATCCCCATGCTGTCTGCCACCAGCCCTTGGACACCCCCCCATCTCCTCCCTCACACATTGCCTCCAACACACACTCCACACTTGGTTGGAAGAGAGGATGCAAAGAGTCTTTGATAGGGTCCTACCCAGGAGTGGGGGTAGGGCGTGTGGAAGCAGCTAAAGTTCCAGAGCTAAAGTACTCACTAGGATGCCAGACCCCAGCATTTTGGTCAAGGAAGACTTCCTGGAGGGGGAGGCATCCAGGCTAAGTCCAGGATGGGTAGGACTTTGAAGGATGGCCTCCAGGGTGAGCAGAACTGAGACCTGTGGGGCTGGATGGAGGTAGAAGGGTAGGCACGGGTAGCTGTGACACTGTCAGACACTTTGGCTGCCGTGGTGGGGAGTACTTGACCTGGAGTAGAGAGGGCTACCTCCCCCTTGGCACACACAGCATGTCCACTGGAACCTTGCCATGAAGAAATGGAGAGGGGCACTCACCGGGTTGCACAGCTCTTGCACCCTCCTCAGACTGGACTCCTCCCACCCCTTTCCTTTAGTCCATTTCCTGGAAACAGAGATGAGGCCTCATTAGCACCCATCCAGGCCTCTGGTCTCTGTCTGGTTAATCTCATTAACCTGGAAGTGGCCCAGACCCTGACTGACTGACCTACAAGTGCAGCTTCCTCCTCTGAGCTGGCTCTTAGGCTGCTGGGGAGAAAGATGCTAACACACATGCAGCACACATACATGCAGGGCATAAGCACACACAATGACACACACCCCCGACAGCACAAGGACTTTGTTCATACTCACAGGGACTCATATGGTCTCTGCAGTACCACAGCCCCACTCACATACACACCAGCCCCACCAATGGCTCTTTGGCCTCCCTGTCCCGGTCACATCAAGGTTTGGGAGTTCAGGTGGGTTCCCCTCACTCTGGGTCCTGATTCCATTCCTGTTCCTTGTTGTGGAAGCCGAGAAGTGCTTTTCTCTGCCTTTCCTATCCATGGTAGATCCTCTCTGCACCTGCTCCTCCCCATCCTGCTACCTTCACCCTACCAATACCCAAGGGTGGGGGCAGGAAAATGGGCATAGCTGTTGTCATCCCAGGCCAGAATATCTGAACTCACTTCCCATTGCTGCCACAGGGCCTGACCTTGCCTGAAACATGAGAGGGCCAGGGACCCTGGCTTGGGCTGTATCTGAAGGTATGCAAGTCAGATAATGAGGAATGCTTCTCAGATAAGAAGAGAGATCTCCAGTAGGGAGAAAGGCCAGGTTCCATCTCAGATGGCCAGTCTCCAGGTCACTCATGGGACCTATGAGTCCCTTACTCTAGTATCCTGGGGCAGGGGTAGGGGAGGTGGACTTGACTCTTGGATGTCTGTCCACCCTTTACAGACAAACTGCACGTCCTGCTCTTGTCTTCCATACCATCAGCTTCTTTACCTGCACAGCACCCAGACCTGGCTGCACTCTCACTATCTAATCTCTCCGTGACCATCACCACCTCTTGTCTGCTTTTACCATGCGCCCCCTGGTGGGGCCTCCACTTCCTGTGGGCTCTAGCTCTGACTCGTGGATGGGAGGATACCTACGGTCTCTGCCTCTGTCCTGCCCACATTTACTGCTCAACTCACTAGTTGATCCTACCCTCATGTGGGGAGGTCTCCCCTACTTGAACCTCTCGTTGGAGATTTCTAGCCCCTCTAATTACTCCACCCCCTGGCAAGCACTTTACTGCCATCATCTCCACCCATCATCTCAATTCCCTCACAAGGCGGAGAAAACCTCCATGTACAAAGAAGAGTCTGGGCCCAGGGACAGAGGGTGCCCCAGTCTCTGGCCTTAGTGAAACTGATGGCCGTAACTGCCTGACTTCTCCAGCCAGCATAATGGAGTCAGACAAGGGATGGACGTCTGCATCTACCTCAGGGAAGTCCAGAAAAGACAAGCCATCAGGGAAGCTCTACCCAGAGTCTGAGGAGGACAAGGAGGCACTCACTGGCAGCAGCCACCAAGGTATGTCTACACTTCCTTGGGTCTGTCTGAGATGGGCTTGGACCCGCCCTCCCTCCACTGCTCTGTCCCCATCTTGAACTTATGCTCCCCGTCTGCTTCTGGTTGAAGAGGCTGTGGCCCCTTCCCCAGGACAACAGGACAGGGGCCAGAAGGAGCCAGAGCTTGGGGTGTGCATGCAGGGGGCAGGTGAGCAGGGCGGCTCAGGCCTCAGGAAGATGTAGGCAAAGAGTTCATGCAGCCTTACCCCAACAGTGAACGCTGGGCTACAGCTCTGCCCATGGAGAGAAAGAGGGGTGGTAGAGAACCAGAGAGACAGAGAAGCAGGAGGGACACAGAGACAAAAAGAGGAAAAGGCACACAGAGACAGGGAGAGACATGGAACGAGAGACAGAGATAAAGGGAGGCAGGGAGAAACAGTCACAAGGACAGAGAGAGGACCAAAAAGCACAAGCTGTGTTCCAAGACACAGAGTAGGGTGGGCCATAGAGGTAGAGTGGGAGAGGAGGGTGACTGGAGAGGGCTGGGGGCCAGAGATAAGGAGAGAAGAGAAGAGAGGGAGGGAAGTGTGGGACAGCGTCATCCCTCAGGGAACTGAGGAGAGACAAACACAGCGCCAAGGCTGCAGCCACAGGGCTGGCTTGAACTGGCCGGGTGGGCAGCAGATTCCAGATGGACCACATCTGGGAGGCTGTGGTCACCCTGTGGTTCCCTGGGGACCAGAAGGGATTGTGGGGCCGACTGGGCGGGGCTGGGAATATGGTGCCCAGGACAGAGAGCCTTTCACCAATCTGGGGTGGGTCTAGCCGCCAAGGCAGCCTTCCAAGGTGGCTGGAGAGTCCTGTGGTTGGAGCCCCATGGGGGGGGAGAAGGAAGTAGGGAGCCTGGAAGATAGAACATGGGAGATCCAGAGTAGTTGGTGACACTCATGAGGACTCAACATCTCTATAGTGAGACTGGGTCCTTCAAGTGTGTCACCCTGTCCTAAATCCCACTATTAACACTTAGATTTAGAGGATCAAGTGGTTGGGAGAGTCTCATAGCAGGTGCTCGGTGCAGGTCTTAGGTGGTGGAAGCGCAGACTCATATTTCCCAGCGAGAAAACTGAGGTGCAGAAAGGAGAGAAACCGCATGGGGTCAGCAGCTCTTTGGGGTCCAGCTGGCACTGGAAACCAGTCCTCCATCGTCTTGTCCAGGTTTCTGGGAAGCCCTTCTCAGCTGAGAAAGTGTTAGACTGGGAACCTGCCCTTCTCCAGGACACCTGGAAGTTGGGATCAAGGGCAAAGATAAGAGAGGCCTGACATAGAGTTAAGCACTGGAAGAGGACAAGCCCCAGGCTGTATGACTCAGCAGGTCATTCATTTCTTCCCTGGGCCTCCACCAGCCCATCTGAAAAGTGGGGCCAGTGCCAGTACCTGTTACAGGGCTATAAGGAATTCTGTGAAACCAGGTGAATGCAGGGCACAGTACAGGATAAGAGCTCAAGACTTGGGGCTGCCATGTCAGGGTCTTGGACCTCTCCACAACATTTCAAGGCTTTATTCTCCAGTGCTGGGGCACACTTGTCCCTGTGGGAACCAACAACCACAGGTGTATTCATCCCTTTGGGACACTAACCAAGAACTTGACGCTCAATCCCTCTGTGTCCCCCACCCTATCTGTCTGTCTTTGTGGGCACAGGGCGCCCCTGCCTGCCTGAGTGGGACCATATCCTGTGCTGGCCTTTGGGGGCACCAGGTGAGGTAGTGGCCGTGCCCTGTCCCGACTACATTTATGACTTCAATCACAAAGGTACGGCTGGCCTAGGGGTGGAAAAAGGGCCACAGGGATGACAGGGCTTGGAGCTCAGGGTTTGGTGGCCCTAGACCTCTCTCTTCCTGCCCTGACCCTCCCTCACTGACTTGCAGGCCATGCCTACCGACGCTGTGACCACAATGGCAGCTGGGAACTGGTACCTGGGCACAACAGAACATGGGCTAACTACAGCGAGTGTGTCAAGTTCCTGACCAATGAGACTCGTGAGCGGGTGCGAGCCTTCCCCCTCCTTCACCTGGTCCTAATAAGGCCACCCAATCCCATCCCTGTTGGTGACCCCTGATCTAGTCCTAACGCTAGACCTTGACTTCTCCAGCAACCTTCACCTGGCTCCTGCCCCTTCCCCTCATGTTTCCCCAAGTCCCAGGGCTCTGACAGTACCTCCCCAACCCCACAGGAGGTGTTTGACCGCCTGGGGATGATCTACACTGTGGGCTACTCCGTGTCGCTGGCCTCCCTCACTGTGGCAGTGCTCATCCTGGCCTACTTTAGGTGGGCGGGGCGAAGCTGGGAGAGGCGTGGTCAAAGGTGGGGCTGGGGTGGAGCCGAGGGATGGTGCCACCCCTGTTACCCCCTCAGTACACCCTTCTCCCCTGCCTGGTGCCCGTTGGGTGTGAACATCCCAGCTGCCTGCCCCTCCACCACACACCCTGGGTCCTTCAACCATGATGATGTTGCCCCGCCCCCCTCAGGAGGCTGCACTGCACACGCAACTACATCCACATGCACCTGTTCCTGTCCTTCATGCTGCGAGCGGTGAGCATCTTTGTCAAAGATGCAGTACTCTACTCGGGCACTACCCTCGATGAGGCAGAGCGCCTCACCGAGGAGGAGCTGCGCGCCATCGCCCAGGCCCCGCCACCGCCCTCCGCCGCTGCAGGCTACGTGAGTGCCCCTCGGTCTATGCCCCGTGGCTTTCTGCCACCACTGGCTCCCTGCAAGCCCCCACCATGCTGCATCCCCTAGCACTGCCCGTCCAGCCCTTGCCCCTGCGTGTCTACTGCTACCACTGGCTTCATGGGTGCCTCCCACCTCACAGTGTCCCCCACATCTCTCCGACCTTCTTCCAGCCCCTACCCCTAAGGGCTTCATGAATCGCATTTTTGTCAGCACCCCTGTCTCAGCCCAGTACCCTCAACTACCCCACCTCTGCACCTTGCCCCTGCTACTGTCATTGTGAGTGTCCTCCTGCCCCTGGCACTGCCCCCCCCCCACATGCACACCCCTCAGCCCCTGCCTTTGGTTGAGAGCCCCAGCTGGAGCCTGTCCCTGCCCTGCCCACTTGGCCAGCACCATTTTGTCTTGTCCCACCAGCTGGGCCCCTGCTACCTCCCCTGCTCTCCACTGCCACCACTTCTCCCCGCAGCTTTGACTTCCCCAGATGCAGGCTCCTCCTGTTAATGCAAGCTGGTCTCCTAGGCGGGCTGTCGGGTGGCTGTGACCTTCTTCCTTTACTTCCTGGCCACCAACTACTACTGGATTCTGGTGGAGGGGCTGTACCTGCACAGTCTCATCTTCATGGCCTTCTTCTCAGAGAAGAAGTACCTATGGGGCTTCACAGTCTTCGGCTGGGGTATGCAGGCTTGGCGGGGTGGGGCTGTGAGGTGCAGGCAAGGGTGGGGCCATGAGCATAGCACCACCAAGGGTTAGGTGCCCACACAGCATGTCCTGTGACTCTGACTGGATTCCAGGCTCAGGGAACAGGGTTTGGCCAGGGTCAGGATTCACGTGGCATTGAATTCACCTCAGTTTGAGTTGGGGTGAGAATCACCTGGGGTTGAGTTCAAGGGAGGGAGGGCCAGGGTCTGTTGGGTCAAGAATCAGCTTGGAATTAGAGTGGGATCTTGTGTCAGAAGTCAGACTGGAGCTGGAATTGGGGTCTGGCACCCTCCCTCCACCCTGAGCCCCATAGGCTGGGCCAGCATCTATTCCTCACCAATCTGCTTACCTGAGAGGAGCTACCAGCCTGAGGTGGGCCATCAGGTCCATGGCCTAGAGCTTCACAGGCCTGCCCCGAGTTCAGCAGCAACTCTACAGAATGGGTTGCTGGGACTTTGTATCCCTCCCACGCCCCCATGGGCTCCAGGATCGAGTTACTGATAATTGTCCGTTATTGTTGGCAATTCCAGACCTTGGCTGGGCTCTGGGGCATCTGCCCAGGCTGCAGAGGGTTGGGCGGGGTGGCTAGAGCCCTGGCACTTTAGTCAACACCCCTAGCTCAGCCCATACCCTCCAGCCATGCCACCTCTGGGCCCAGCAGCCCTCAGGTCGATGGCCACTGCCTTCCTGCCCCTTGGCACACACCCTGATCTTCACCTCACCCTTGGCAAGCCCTCAAGTTGGGAGAGAGTCAGGGTGGTCAGCAAACACATATGTCGGGGCTTGCACAGATCCCATGGAACAGGAACGTCAGCCCTTTTCTCAGCATAAACTTGGGGTATACTCTGAGCCTCCCAAGGGTTCATCAAGGCCTGGAATGAGTCAAGGGAGGGTCAGAGCCTGGCTTCCCTGCCCAGAGGCAAAGCACACTCAGGGGCACCATGCTAGTCAATGGTGGCTCGTACCTGCTGAGTGGTTTAGACCAGGGCTCACAGAGGCTCTCTTGTGGCCGATGCCCATTGGCCTCATCCATGGGACCAGGACTTTTCATACTGGATCAGGGATGTTGGTACCAGATTCCCTCCTCATGAGGAACTCCCAAGTCCAGAGCAGCTGCCCTTCATGGAGGGAAGGGGAAATGGACTGGCCTCACTAAGTTAGGAAGACATCATTGTGTCCTGTGCCCAGAAGTATGCGGAGCATGTGACTGACTGTAGGAGATGCAGAACCACTAAGATGGAGGCAGAGGGCTGTGTTGGGGTCCTGAGGGCTGAGACCCTGGGGAAGGCTATTGGGGTAGCACAGGCTAGAGGGGCTTTGTCACTGTGCAGCCCATGTGTACAGAGTAGGGGCAGAGGCAGTGATAGGGTATGCTGGGCATCATCAGGGATGAGGGGAGTGGAGCTAGCAAGGTGGCTGAGGGGAGGGAGACATCCATGGATGAATTCACAGCCCCTCACACACTCTACTCCTCTGTGCCCACAGGTCTGCCTGCCATCTTTGTGGCCGTGTGGGTCAGTGTGAGAGCCACCCTGGCCAACACTGGGTAGGTCCAGGTGGGGAAGAGTTGGGACAAGGAGGGAGCTGTGACACAGGTCAGAAAGTCCCCAGGGACCCTCTTCCTCTGTGATGCATGGGAAGGGGTCACCTACCCCCCAGCCATGAGTGGCCCCAGCATCAGGAGTTCTCTGTCTAGCCTGCAGCTGTGCACCCCTTCAGGGTCACAGAGGGCTACTTCTCCTAAAGAGGCCTGAGGCTACCCTCAGGCCTGGCCATACCCAATACTGTTCTGAGTCCTAATAGTTAATGGTCAAGCAGACCAGCTGTGGAGCCTCTCTGTGGGTAGGTTCAGGGTGGGGACAGCAAGGGGGCAGAGTTGATACCTCCTTTTCCCCCAGGTGCTGGGACTTGAGCTCCGGGAACAAGAAGTGGATCATCCAGGTGCCCATTCTGGCCTCCATTGTGGTGAGCAAGGGTGGATGGTTGGCCACGGGATGGAGTGGGAGTTTGGACCAGCCCTACAGGGACCTGTAGAGGCTTCTAAATTCCAGAAATAGAGCCACAAGGTCTGTCCACATGGGGACACTGAGGGCCCAAGAAGCCACATGAGATATGGTGGCAGAGCAGAGCCTGTGGCAGGGCTGGTGGTCCAAGGGTCCTTGCCCTGCCCGGCTAGAGTGCAGCCTCAGTGCAGCCCCCTCACTCCCTATAGCTCAACTTCATCCTCTTCATCAACATTGTCCGGGTGCTTGCTACAAAGCTGCGGGAGACCAATGCTGGCCGGTGTGACACGCGGCAGCAGTACCGGTAAGTCACATCCACCATGTCTAGGCTCCTGGGAGCTGGAAGTAGAGCCAGAGGTCATGGACTCCCAGCCCCATGTACACAAGGAGAGGCAGAGTCCCCGTGGATGAGGCTGTCCCCATGAAAGGGCCCAGCTCCTGACTCCCTGGCTGTCCCCAACTAGCATGCCAGACCAGGGGCCTGATCAGCAGTGATGAGGTCTCACCCTGCCTGCTTCTGGAGACCCTAGGGATCTCTCAAAGCTAACCTGGCCCATTTGGTGCTGAGCCCTGCACCTGGGGCCCGTGAGAGTGGGACAAGTCCATGCTTCACCTCAAAAAGCTGGTCGCTTGGTATCTGACAAGGCAATGCATAGTCCCAAGGAGGCAGCAGCTCAGCTGAAACCTGAGTAGTAGGCCATAGGAGAGTGAGGACAGGGCATTCCTGGAGTGGGACTGGCAGGCTGTCTGGATAGGGTGACTGGATAATGCATGGTCTACTCCAAGACTCCTTTGAGAACCCAGGAAGGTTGTCAACACTTTGCTTGGAGAGCAAGCCATTCTGGGTGGACAAGGTTAAATGGTCATCCTCCCATGGTCACCACAGCCTTGGGGTCCTTTGTAGCTTCTAGAGCCTGGGGTTTGCAGGGTGGGAGGTGGCCCACTGCCCATCAAGAGGAAGCAGCTCAGCCCTGCCCCACCTCCCCCGCCCTGGCCCAGGAAGCTGCTCAAATCCACGCTGGTGCTCATGCCGCTCTTTGGCGTCCACTACATTGTCTTCATGGCCACGCCATACACCGAGGTCTCAGGGACGCTCTGGCAAATCCAGATGCACTACGAGATGCTCTTCAACTCCTTCCAGGTATGTGGCTCTAGCAGTGGCCAGCTGTGAGCGGGTGGGTGGACGGTTGCTGCTCCCACCTTCTTCAGATGTGGACCCTTGGCCCTGACCCACCCTTCTGCCTCTCTCTGCAGGGATTTTTTGTCGCCATCATATACTGTTTCTGCAACGGTGAGGTAAGCAATGGGCAGCATTGGGGCAGGGCAGGGATGGAATGGATGTGCTAGGGGTTCCCTAAGTCATGCCCCTTCCTTCTGTCTCATTCTTCCTCTGCTTCTCTAAGAATATCCCCCAAGGACATTCTGAAGGCAGAGAGAAGTCTTTCCAGATGATTCAAGCCCAGGATGTGTTAGGATTTGTGGGCTCTTCGATCTCTGGCATTAGCCAAGTATCTTTCCATGCCCATGGTTTGAATTATCTGAAATCCAGATTGAAGGACTCAACCACTTTTAGGGACATTGATTCTGGGTGTGTCAGTTGCCTGCAGCCAGGCCTCAGGTTCTGAGGCTAATGGAATTTTGCTTGATCTTAGAATTTTCCAGTAACCCCTTCCTCTGTTCCCACTCAACATGGCAGTGGCAGGGGTAGGGATGGGAGCACTGCTTGGGAGGGCATGTGACGGAGCATTTGGGCCCATCCTGACCATCTACCCTCCTGCCACTGCCCCAGGTACAGGCCGAGATCAAGAAGTCTTGGAGCCGCTGGACACTAGCATTGGACTTCAAGCGCAAGGCACGCAGCGGGAGCAGCAGCTATAGCTACGGCCCGATGGTGTCACACACAAGTGTGACCAATGTAGGCCCCCGTGCAGGACTTGGCCTGCCTCTCAGCCCCCGCCTTCTGCCTGCTGCCACCACCAATGGCCACCCCCAGCTGCCCAGCTACACCAAGCCAGGGGGCCCGGCCCTGGAGACCACTCTACCTGCCATGGCTGTCCCCAAGGACAACGGGTTCCTCAATGGCTCCTGCTCAGGGCTGAATGAGGAGGCCTCCGGACCTGAGCGGCCCCCTGCCTTGCTACAGGAGGAATGGGAGACAGTCATGTGACTGGGGAGCTGGGCTTTGGACCTATGGACACAAGGGCAGATGGACCAAGAGTCAGGTGGTTGGACAGTTGCCCACTCAGGGCTGGGGCTAAGAGAAAAAGTGGGGGAAAAAAAAAAGGAAAAGGAAGTAATGTGTGGCTTCCTGTAGTCTAAAGAGGGGACTCGCCCCAAGAGAAGAGGGAACTGGGAGCCATGGGAAAGTGTTGGGGAAGGGACACAGTCCAGCAGAGAGGGCTGGGAGATGTTCAAGGCCCAGAGAGGCTCAAGTTTGCAGGTGTCACAGCAACTGAGTGGGGCCATATAGGAATCGGGCCCCATCATTTCTTTGCCGCCTGGTACCACCTCAGCCACTTACCATACTCATACCCAGGCCTCACAAGGGACCCAGGCTGCCAGTGGCCCAGGCTCCTCTGGTCCAATCCCTCCGCCTGCTGGCTCCCAATCACTGTCCTCCCCCAGGGCTGAGAGCAGATCCCCTGCTCCCCAAGCCTAAGGCCCTGCCACAGAGTGAGCCCTTCCCTGGCTGTGCCCCTTGGAGGCTGGGGCCACTCAGGGAGTCCACCACACGTGACCTACAGCCCCTACCCTGGATCTGACACACCTCTAGTAACCAGAGAGAGGGTGTAGGGGTTGTCCAAGGGTAGTATGTACAAGATGGGCTTCAAACCATGGGCTCAGGAACTGTGGGAGCTGCTGGCATGGGATCTTCAGGCATATCCACTCATCAGGCACTGGGCATCACCAGCTGGCATCTACCACCTTACTCAACCCCTCATGAATGCTCCCTACCACAGCCACCTGTGAGCTCTGGAATGGCACAGCCCCTCAGCCTGACTCCCTGAGGACTCACCCAGCTGGATCACCTCCCCATGTTTTGGCCAGACCAAACTTCTTGCTCATGCCTGAAGGAAGGCTCATGCCTCTGCCTGGCACTCCGGGCCCTCATCCCCAGCTCATACCATCTGCTCTTTTCTAGGAAGTGCTCCCCATCTCCAATAGGCCCGCATCTCTCCACCCTCGATATGGTGGGTGAGGGCCAAGAGGCCCAGGACAACAAACTCACACAGGCAGTGAACCCAGCCCTGGCTGCCCTCCCACATGTGGTCAGGGGGAAGGACCTGTCCAAAGGCCTGATGTTCCCACAGAGCTCCATGTGGTGTGACTTGCTTGGAATGGTAGGAAAGAGGCAAAGACAGGTCCTGAGGGGCCACTGGGCCACGCTGGGTAGCAAGGACTCCCATGGATTCTGGGAAGCCATTGGAAGGTCTAGGAGGGAGAGCAACAAGGTCTGAGCAGTGTTTAGAAGGGTCTGTGCTCCAGTGTGGGGTGGAGAGAGCCTTACGGGAGGCAGGTGGCCAGGCTAGGAATGGTGATGGCAGTGGGAAGCACTGCTGTCATGAAGGACCCTAGATGAGCTCCTGGCTGGGTGAAGGAGGCTTTATTCCCCTCACCAGGGGTCCCTAAACCCCACCCTCTTTGGGGCTTGAGCTAACATCTCATCTCAACTCAGAGTATGGGACCTCCAGATGACTGGGCCCTCCAGGGCTAGTCATCCTGCCCACCCCACAGGCAGGGTCACTGAGGCCCAGAGCTGGCTGGGACCCAGGACTCCCCCCCCCCCAGCCCAGCCTCCTCCCTCAGGTTTCTGAAATAAGCAGCCCATGAAGCCCACTCATTTCAGACTGGCACCCCCAGGGCAGAGCTCTCTCCCCTAGAGTGAGCACCCCCAGGGCTGAACTGAGCCTTTCCCCTCAGACTGGCATCCCCCCAGACAGGGTCATGCCTCACTCCTCAGACTGAGTGTCCCCCAGGGCAGGGATGTGCTTCTCCCCTCAGACTTGCCACACTTTCCCTTCAGACTGGATTCCCCAAGATTGGGCTGTGCTTTTTCCTTTGGACTAAATATCCCCAGGACATAATGGGCCTCCCCTCTTAGGTTTGGTGCCACCAGGTAGGACCAGGAACTCCCATATCCAAGCAGGCATCTTCTAGATGAAGACTGGCCCTCCTGCCTTGGAATATTTGCAACTAGGGCAGGGTCAAGCCTCGCTCTTTAGGCTGGGCAACATTTCTCCCATTAGATTGGATATCTCAGTGTAGGACTGGGCCTCTCCCATCAATCTGAGTCTCCTAGACTAGGACCGATCTCCTCTACCAGACCTCTCTCTGCTTAGGAGGCCCCTGGGCCATCCAGGTGTTGGCAGAGGAAGTGGGAGCCCTCAGAGGGCCTGGCAGGCGGTTAGGACCCTGTTTGCCTTGAACAAGAGCTGGAGCCAGGTGGTCACTTCTGCCTTCAAGGCCCCATGGTCCAGCCAAGCCACAGGGAACACATAAACAGCAGCTGAGACGGCCTGCAGGTAGGCAGGAAGGAGGGCACTGAGAGACCCTGACTCCTCAGCCTCCTTGGCCACTATGTCCAGGCATTTCATTGGCTTCTCTAGATCCCAAATCAGGCCAGTGAGGTATCCAGGCCCAGCTCCCACATGTCTTGGGTGCATGGAGAGGTCCTGCCCCTCTCTGGTCTGCTTTCCTGAGTCCAGGCTAGGGGGTAGGACTTTTGAAGATCCTCTGAAAGAATATACCCTCTTGAGCCCTCCCTGTTCAGCCCTCAGGCAAGGCTAGTTCTCAAAAAGTCAGATAGGTCTGGGGCTCCCGGTTTGGGCTAGGGTCTAGGGGTCAGCTCTACCCACCCTCAACCTGCAAGCCTCAATAGAGAGCAATGAATGAATCTGGCCCACATACCCCTTAGCCCCACCCTAGGGAGGTAGGCTGAGGGAGAGCAGTCAGGAGGCTGAGTCCTTTGGAGGTTCTAGAGGGGCATGACCTGGCCCCGGGGCTCTGAGGGGACACAACCCTGCTCTGGGGGTCTGAGAGGGTCCTGGCTCTGTCCTGGGGTGTGTCCAAGAGTGTCCTGGCCATGCCCTAGGGATTAGAAGAGATACAGTCTGGCTGTAAGGACTATAGTCGAGGGGTGCTGGGGGAGTGAGGCCTAATGCTCAGCTCTGGCACATAGGCTGTGTTGGGTCCAGTTTCTTGGGTCTGATGCATCCTCAGCCAACTCCAAGACAATGATCCCAGCCTGAGGCTGCTGTGGCCAGCCAAAATAGGCTTAGCAGGAGAACTAGTCCCACCACACTACAGAGGGGTATAGGAGGGACCCTGGGTTCCCTGTTTGGCTCTCTATGTATCCTGTGTGACCCCAGGCAAGCTGCCTTCCCTCTCAGCCTCAGCTTCTCCTCGGACATTAGGCCCCTGCCCACATCTGGCCCATGTGGGCTCAGTACCACACCCTGCTCCCCCATGGGTCACCAGGCTGAATTCTGGCTGCCTCAACGGGGCCCCAATCCTTCCTTTGACCAGGTTTGGGACTCTTAGCACCCAAGGTCTGGACAATATTCCCAAGTGACAGGTTCCCTCCTTCCTCAGAGTCATGGCCATGCAGGGAGTAGAGACCAATGGATCCTGAGCAGACCCTCCTTGTCCAGAGTCTGGGGGTCAGCTCCAGGCATAGCTCCAGGCAGGAAAGAGGGCAGTGTCTGGGAGGCAAGAGACTGGGATTCACAGGTTCATTCTAAATGCCTCAACTGTCCATCTGTAGATGAAGGGAGGGGAGGGAAGCCTCCTTCATGGTTCTGCATTCATTATACAGGTACTGTTCAGACCCTTCCCACTCAGGTCTGTTTTGGTGTGGGTAGGGAGGTGTCTCAGTTCTCCCCCAAAGACTCCCTGAGTGGAGATTTTTCTGGTCCTGCAGGTCATGGTCAAAGACAGAGCCATAGAGAGGTCATAACATTTCCAGGGTCTGTGGTAGGAAACTGCAGATAAGAGGTCCCATGGGGCTCCTGCTGGCTTTGCTTTCAGATGGTGGGGATGCAGGGGCAAGGCCAGGCTGGGCAGATGTGGTTCTGGGGCACAGGAGGGTAGGCTCTTGGCCACTCCAAACCCCCTTCTCAGCTCCTCAGTGTCTGTGGCTCCAAACTCCTGGCACACAAGACCCTTCATGGCTCCTCACCATCCTCCACACTGCATGCTCCAGTCAGCCCAGGACAACTTGTCCTTCCTGGGGACCCACTATTTTCATCCTCTTCCTGCTCCAGCACTTGTAAAAGTCAGCCTTGGACTGGACCACGCCCTGCCCCTACCCATAGCCACATTGACAGGATACCTGCCCCCAAAAAACTCACTCACATCAGCAAGATAGAGGGTGTGTTGTATGCCTGTTTCTATGTCTGTGTCTTTACATCTATGTGTGTTTATTTGTATTATCTGTTTGTAAATGTGTATGTCTGCATACGTGTCTGAGTGGCTGTTTTGTGCCTGTCAGTATGTATGTCTGTATGTTTGTTTATCTGTGTCTGTGATTTGATTTGTATGTGTACCTGTGTCTGTGTCCATGTGTTTCTCTATGTGTATATGTCTATTTGTATGTGTCTAAGTCTTTTGGTGTGTCTGTGTGTGACTATCTGTCGCTGTGTCTGTTTGTATTTGTATTCATGTGTGTATGGGTGTGCCTATTTGTGTGTGTGTGTCTGTGTGGACACGAGGTCTGAGAATGCTGCCTGTGGGTGGAATTTGGCACACAGACATGTTTGCTTTGGCCCTCACAGTATTTTCAACATCTTGAGCCAACATTTAAAAATCAGGATATTTCACATAAAAATTCAGCTTTCCAGCTTCCCTTAAAAATTCAGAAGCTCTGGCAGCCCTGAACCTGCATTCCCATGAGACCACTCTCCCCCAGAGTTGCCTCATTACACTCTCCACAGCCTCACCCATTTGTCTCGCCCACCAGCATCTTGAGGACAGATATGTTTGTGACCCCAGAATGTGGTCAGAACTGGGTGTGATCCTAGCTGTTGGGAAGTGTATGAGTATATGTACATGTATGTGTGTAATTTGTGTATGTGCATGTGTGTGCATGAGGCAAGTCTGTGGGGGAAGGTGTGCCTGTGAGTGTGTGTATGTGTGCGCGCATATGAGGCAAGTCTGCATGTGTGTGTGGAGTGTGCAAGAGTGTGAATGAACACAACTGTGCACATGTGTGCATGTGGTGCCAGTGTGGTTTGAATTTGAGTGTGTGCATGTGTGAGGCAAATCTGTGCCCTGAATGCCACATATCTAAGTCTG